TTTAATTGTCCTAGAGTTCCGAAAGTGACCTTATAATAAGACTCTAATTACTCTACCGTATACGACCTTCATCTTCAAAATTAATTCCTTATTGATCGATATAATCTCGATTGTCACAGCACAGATTCTTAACTTCCTGTCACTAACTTAGTCATCGCCGCTACAACTAGTGATAATTACATCTACGTATCGTAAGATCGATATTCGAGATGTTTCTGGAGAATAATTTTTTTAGAGTTTATAGAACGTACAAGTAAAAAAAAAAAGTGAATTCTCGTGCAAGCACGTAATGCAGATTCGATAGTTTCCATGTAAAAGGGGTACTTCGAGCTTGGTAATTGCATAAACTCGATACAGCCAAGGGGTCTGTATTCCCTCAATCAAATTCAATATGAACCCCCTAAATTCAATATTACACGAGTTTGCTGTATCGCGTTCTGGTTTAGAAGTACCTCGGCTATTAGCGAATAAGAGAGATGGGCACACAAGTGCGCCCGATCCATCAAAGTTCAACGATTCACGAGGGTATGAGTCATACACGATATTGAGATTTTTTTACAACGCTAACCTCGCATACCAAGTCTAATCGACTTGATAAATTTCCAACATACATAGATAAAAACTAAAATCGATGTACGATTTTGATATAAAAGTTTATCCTTGTCGACTGTTAAAAATATCAGCCTAACGCTGTACCGGTCTGATGATTTCAGATCAGACCGCTAAAGCTCGTCTAAAAAAAAAAAAGAAACGAGAGTTTGACAAGGAAGATAATTTGATCAAGACTTAGTGAAATCTTCGAATATGATTTACTTTTTTCATTACTTCCCCGCTAAGACACGAGCGAATTCCACTCGAATTGAAATGAATAAATCCTATGAAGTTCGGCAAGTCGTATTCAAAAATACGCCAAATATTTGATTCTTCGTAATCCTTTTCAGAGTGAAGTTCTTTTCGAGGAGCGGTGAAACAAAGGAAGAAAAAAGGTCAAGTGAAAAAAAAAAATAAAAAATGAAAACAGATAAAGGCTAAATAAGAAATGTATGTTTAAGGTGAGATGAAAGAAGCCAAAAATTGTATGTGTGTCGGGTAGGGGAGTGAGAAAGGAGGAAAACAGTCAAAGAGGAATCCAAATAGAAGAGGGGAGCGGGAGGAGAAAGAAGATGAGAAGGAGGTGACGGTGGTGGTGGGAAGAGGGTTCGTAGAGATTGAAGGTAGAAACTGGAGGTTGAAAGGAGAGGGAGAAAGGAGGTCGACTGGAGAGCGGGATGACGGATGGAGGGCAGGAAGCCACACAGGAACCGGAACCCATTACTCCAGATAACAACTTCCCCATGACTTCCTTTCCTTCTTGTACTTCTACCATAAAGCCCCATACACATCACTTACAACCGGAAATTCGCCACTTCTGCTGCCATTCTCCTTTGTCGTACACTGGTCACGGGAGCAACTGGTGGCAATACTTCCTCTTAAAAGAACTGAGACATGGCTAGACTCGATCTCTCGAAAATTCTAAGCTAGCCAGAATTTAAGGTATTTGAAAATATTTATTTCTTTTAATGTACCTACGATGCCTTATACCTTTTCAGAACTTCGTTTCGCTGAATGCCTCCTTATTTTCATTTTATTTTCCTGGATTTCTTTCTATACTCAAAGTGTATACGTATTATAGGTACGCTCACTGCGTGTCCTCTGAATCACAGACTTAACATAAACTGGTTCAAGTTGTCTAAAATATTTTCAATTCACGATTGCCACAGTGTGCTTTGCACTTTTCATTGTTTCGCAAATGCATTCTCCATTAAAATTCAACCCATAGGATATAAAAGGCCAGCTCGTCGCTTCAAAATCATTCAGCCTTCCTCTCACCGGCAGGCTGATTACTCCACTCAAGTGGTCCCTGAACCTCGTTTTAGTTCTGTGCCTCATTGTCGGGAAAAGAGAACCAGAATCTGATCTTTCGAACTCGACTTTATGAAAAAAAAAAAAGTTATATAAAATCACTCTTATGCTTCGCAAACATACTTTTCATATTCGGACGCTAATACGAGCAGGAAGGCTACACGGACCCAAAACCTTTGCCCCTCTCCTTCACTTCCTCCTAAACAATCAATTTGGAAACAACGCGGACAACCTATTTTATTCTCTGGTCCATCATTCGCTCCGATACCTGTCACTCTACAATTTACCCTAAAGGACATCCCGTTATTCTGCTGGACCATCACCAGCGGTTATTCAAACACCGGTATTGGTGTCTCGCCAAGCCAAAGATCCATGGAGACACAATCCCACTAAGGCCTTCCCATTCTAGAGCCTTCTCTCGAGAGAGGTCGTCTCTTCAGAGATTCATCTTGATTTGTGTCCAATCTTAAGCAACGATAAATATGAAGGAAATATGCTCGATTATAAGATTTATGAAAGTCAATAATACCCTCACGCTTCGACTGCGTACAGTGAAATAATAATATTAAAATAAAATAATGTGGTGGATCAACTTCGACCCTAACAGATCTGTAGGTAAAATGTGTCCCGTTAGTCTACCAGCAACATGGAACACACTTATACCTACAGGTCTGTAAGTAGTAAAAGAAAGAAACAGATGCTGTGCGAGAAACAGAAAATAACGAGAGTAATAAAGTTGGTACAGTACCTCGTTATAAGCGAATGTTAGGGTTGTTCGCGGAATAGAATTCTTAAAAATTCGACGCTCGAATACTTCTCCGCTACGTGCGGCCAGTTTGAAAATCCCGCATATAGAAGTAGCGAGCGTGAGCTTCGTCGCTCCTTGTTAAAAGTGAATAACGATATCATAGCAAAAGACGTATGATTTCGCGCAATCGCTTGTTCGCGTACAATAACGTAATACTGTAGGTACGTAACAAGTAAATTAGATATGTGCGCAGCGAAGAACATGCTGCTCCTCAGACATCATTGTTTACGAACAGAAATCTGATAAAGAATTGCAAGTTAACGAGAATAAAAGCCAGTAAGGGGAATCAATGGCAAAATATATACAGGATATGGTTATGTGTATGTAATAATTAAATAAGAAAAGAAATGCCAATTATCCGTATTCAAAACAGTTTTGTGCAGTCAAAATACATGCAAGTCCCTTTGATTTCTATAAATCAGGGTTGTAGACTCTCAGAATGGAGCACGTAGTAGATGATTTTTCCAGCTAGCCTCTAGAGAGATTGTTCAGGGAAAGACAATATGTAAATGGTAGCCAACGCTCGTCAACTGTTACCGACAAACACGATAACGCGCAGTGAAGCCACGCGTCTTCTTAACAATGTGGGGAAATCAGTCGCCGTTACTGCTGAAAAGTTGCGAGGAATTTACAACTTGGCGAGTGCCGACGTTAGAGGGAGTCGACTGTAGAGATAAATTACGATTAAAGATTCTGTCAGATAACAAAAAGTTCAAGTGTTGCTTTGTACCAACGGAAAACAAAAGACATAAAACATTTGAGAATTAGTTGAGTATTTATAAAGAAAAGAACAAAGCCAGATCTAAAAAAAATTAGATTATGAAAAAGATATAGGGATGAAATTTATAAATGTTATGAAAAAAAATTATAGTTTAATTCTTTGTTATATTCCACAAACGTTACATGGTGAATTGTCGATGGACTGGTTTAAATTTTTGGTTAGTACACTAGCAAACAATACTGGCCTTCCTGTTTATAGTGTAATAGCATTAATTTATAATAGTGTACAGGAGGATCATTTTTGGTCGCTGTACAATGCAATTTTGGATTCCCTCAGCAGCTGTTCGGTTCAATAGCCAATAAAGTTTGGGTTTATCAAACATTTCATTGTTTTATTTCAAAATTGGTATTACCACACGCGAATGCTAATTTAATCAATACAACAGTATTTTTGCTTTAATGCAGAGATTCAAAAGTCGAATAAACAATTATATCTACAATTGTCATTATTCGATATATTCATAGTCAAAAATAATTTAAAAAATATTTTGTAAGAATTTATAAGTTTATTAACAAAAATTGATAAATTACCTTGAATCAATGAGTTATCTATATCTGATAATGTATATGTCAAAAGGCTGAGAAGCAAGTCAGGAGGGATAATCAAAAGGATAATCAATGAAAAAAATGTATATTCCGTCGAGAAGTGAGGAAAAATAATTTCAAAGAGGGAAAGTGGAAAGAGTGTCCTCGTTGAAAATCGCAGAATGTCACGTAATAGAAAAACTCTACTTGCAAACGGCGGATTACGTAATATGACACTTTGAAAAGAGCGGTTGGTCGCGGAGAGTAGCGGTGTGAATCGGGATGAGAGATACCGCTTGAAATGGAAATGGGCGTCGTAGTGTCGAGCGTTGGGATTGCTAAATGGGCTCGAAACGGGTTGCCCAACTGTTGCGCCTTCATCAGAAATTTATGCAGAATCCTCAGTTAACTGTTCCGACCAATGAGCTTTGTAACCGAGTCAAAGTCCTAGCTAGGGACATCAGATTTAGTAAAAAGCCCTTCAATGTTAAACAACTACTAAGAACGTGCCAGTTACCTTGAAACCCCATATTCTCATATCGCTGATTTCATATACCAAACATTTTATAAATATATGAGGGAGAGCGAAAGAGATTCGCCTTTGCTTAACATGAAGATAAAGTGCTTTGAAAAATCGTATGACAAAAAATTATACTGAGAATTCTTTTTTTTTTTTTTTTTTTTCAAAAAACTTGACTGTTCTATTGAATTTTTGTATCTGGCATCATATAATGTCATATACCAATAAAAAATGACATATTTTTGCGGCAAATAAAATAATAATTAAGTCATTTTGCTTGGCGGCAACAAATTGCATGTTTAAGATAAAATTGAGATTGAGATATATTAAGTATAAGTATATATTGACTAAAAGACAAATCCACGGAATCAACAAACCTAAGACAATTTTCCAATTATTTGATAATCTAGTTTCACCAATAAGTAGGCTCGAAGATAAATAAAGGATAAATAAATCGTGACTTACCCACAAGAGCCAAGATCACTGTAAGCAAAGGGGCTGCCGGAAAAGACACTGTCATGTTGAACTCCAACATTTGTAGAAGATCCACTGAAACACAAAAAAGAAATTGCCCCTTTAGTTAAAACGCATTTCAAAATGTCAAATTACAAAAAATCTTAATTAAAGCAAATATTTTCTATTTGGTCAAAGCTAAGGTATGATCTCACATCGAAACTTGGAATTTTAATCATACCGCAATTACTACTTAATTAACTAATAATGCAACAATGTATGAAGGCAATGCGCATTGCAATGCATACTTAGCGTACACTTAATGTAACTTGAACAATTTTTCAAAGAGTATTTTCAAGGCTGATTCACATATTTCCAAACCTATTTCATAAATCTAAATAGGACTTTTCTTGCATTTTAGTTTCCGTCTCAGTACCTTACCGTTCCTGTCATCCGTGTCCGGACAGTGATCTATGATATTTTTCACTGAACGGACGATGCTGAACAATCATGTTACTAGGGTATCTGAATTCAGATGTCACGTGCCTATGTGGCGTTATACGACGTATCGAAAGGAATTGGTACTGAATGGTATTGAAATGTGTGAATCGACCTTTAAGCTATACGTTGAACATTCTTTAATTTCAATTTTTTAACATTTCCTAAAACTATGCATACAACTTCACACAATAAAATCCACTGTGCAAATGCGAAACTCTATTGATAAAGACAAAGTTTCGAAAATTCATCTGAATCGTATGATAATAATAACATATCACTTTCATCTAAAATAAATAATGCAAGAGTATACGATGTCCGGTAAGTATTATATTTCTCAGCTTGTTCTTCTGATTATAATTGTAGTACATCATTCCCCCGTTATATGTCACGCTCGTGTAGAAATTTGATAGGGCATACCCGATGTCGGAAAAGGTCCTAACCAGCAATTAACACGGTTTTCTTATCTATGACCTGAAATTATGGGCCCAGCCATTCTCCAATGAATATACCGATGATTTGCGATAATAATTAAATAAAGAGCCTTGTTTCCTAATATTACACCGCATCTCAGGCACAGAACCTGCTATCCATTTCATCACAATAAGAATGCAAAAAAATTAAAAAAACGTGACCCCAAAAATATCAATAGTGGAATAGCGAAGAATATCTAACGTAGAAACGAAGGATAGTACAATTGCAATCTCTTGGACCGAGACTCTCCATAAAATTACGATAGAACTTCACTTCACCTAAGTTCCTGGATCGTTTAATTATAACTAAACTACAATATCTGGAAGCTAAACTGAAACCGAGACGAATGCCAATAGAATCGCATTACCTCATGGCTCTCAAATAAGAACAGTTCAAGAGTCGCGTATGACCCTTCGAACAAGATTCGATTAGCAAAGTATATATTTATTTTCTATTCTCTTTACTGGCGATCTTGGGAAAAGGAAAACATGAAATGTAGCAGTAAACAATGTTGCTATCGCGATTGATTTCTGCCTGGAGACATAGCAAGATTCAGGTTCAAGCAGAGGCAAGATCGACCTGTGGAAAAGTGAGTAACACCGGAGAGGAAAAGTTTTGCGTGTCTATTGTGAGAAGGTAGATTGCTTTGGGCGGAGAGATTTGAAGAAGAGAAGGGAATGGGAGGTAAGTCTGGAGAGAAAAAAGAAGATGCTGAGTTTTAATAACTAATGGGACGGAAGTTAGTAACTAATAACTTAAAATCTAAAATTCATTAAACCGATACTCTCGACCGGCTTTAGGAAGTTCACAAGACGACGACACTTTCAGTTCTACAAGGTACATTGCAGAAACGATGCAATCTATAATATCGCTGTATTAACCGGCTACTTGTAAACAAGTCGAGTACGGAAAGCTGACGCAACGGCGTAGTACACCAGTAGTTGGGAATAATTAAAAAATGAGGATATCCACATGGCTATTATAAGGATGAACTTTATAGTTGCGAATGGCTGTACTTTAAATATCCTACATTGCTACGACGAGCAACACGCGCTGCCATTTGTTTTTTAAATTATGGTGTAACGTAAAAATATATACGTTTCTATTGAACCAAAACAGAAGACAATAAAAAGCTAACGAAATGAAAGGGAGTCACAAGCAGTTTGAATAGCTAAAAATAAATGCACCTCTGACAATATGCACTGAATGTATGTATAAGACAAAAGTTGGATAAATAAAGATAAATTGAATGGGCCGTTGTATACATTTTTCAATGAAAATTTTCCAACGCATATAATAAAATATGCTCGGTAACTTGAGCTATTTAAATAGATTTTTTGATATTTTTTTTGTACACCTCATAATATTAAATGTTCAATCTGGCGCGTTACGCCATTGCGTATTCCCAACGTATATCCCAGCGAGCAACGGAACGATGCTGATAATAAAACTTCACGCATATAAATTGAGATCGATCAAGGCGCAAACTTTAAAATTAATTTTTGTCGAGTTCGCAGACGACGTGTCAAAAAATAAAGGCGCGCAATTTGAAGATTTTATCTATGAACGTCTATAATAAATATTCAGTGACATAACGTAAGTGTATCTTGGATAATAAATATTTATCGCGACGGAAGCTACAGGAAGAAAGATCCTACCAGGCTAATTTTCTTAGGCAGTACTTTATTTATTACATACATATGTATCAGCTTATTTTCAGAAAATAATTCCCTCGTCAGGATGAAAACCTAACCTAACCAGCCTTAATGAAACGCGTCGATGACTATCTTTAAAATTTTCTTGAAATCTTGATATGACATTATATCCAAGCCGTTTGCGCGGCATGGGAAATCACTGAAAAACTCGCTTATCCTTGGAGAAAAATCATTACTTCGACTCCCTCGTAGAAGAGGCAACATGTCAGTATAAGGAAAACAGAATTTCGTAGATAAACATCAGGCAAGAACTAAAAAGGGGATCTACATAAGAAAAGTCGAGAAGGATGAAAGGTAGGGAAGAATATATCGAGGGAAGCTGAAAAGAGGGGAGGTATAAAAAGAGAGAAAGAGAAAGAGCCAAGTAGGAATCAACGAATGGCCCAAGCTGGAACTGAGCTTGCACCTATAATGTTATAATAGTTATAACGCTTAAACGAATCTAAAGCTGGTACCAACTTAATTGAATTATGGCTTGACTATCAATTTTTGACCCAAGCCTTGGGAGACGGATTGGTCAGGACTGTTTCAAGCCTTGATACAGAAAATTGCCAAAGGCAATAAACAAAATTAGCTTGATTAATTTTCTTCTATGAATTTTTAATAATCAAATAAGCGTTTTAGAAAAACTTTGTTTAGTTACATATGTAATAAATAGAGCAATGCAAATATATATGTTCCCTATCAGTTTCGTGTTGTATCGTTTGTGTATTTCCACTTTCGCTATCACTTCTTCATCATTTACTACACGTTTCCATTTCTTTGTGTAACAGACTCTTTCAATTTTGTAATATGGTTTTTAAGAAATTCCGCAATCAATAATCATTACAATCGTACTTGAGAGTTGATTCATGTAACCTGAAATGAGGAAAAATTGGGGGCTCGATTTATAGCACATTTTTCTACTAATAAGCTGTACAACGAACGATCGAATGTTGTATAAGAATAAATTGTAAATCGATTAAAACACTTAAATAAATTCGTGAAAGGGTACAATAATTTGGATCAACGTTGGCCATTCTTACTTAAGCAGAATTGGAATATCGAGGCTTGGTTAAATCTTGGTACATTAGACTTTTGAAAATCTTGAACCAAAGCTCAGATTAACGAAGCTTGGCAAGCCAAAAATTAGACCAGACTTACGATTAGTTCAATTAATAAAGCATTGGCAATTTCTACCTGAATAAGAACAAAGTAAAGAAAAGTTGGCTAGACAGAAATTGCCGAAAGCTATTGTCTGCCGAAAAACGTCTACTCCGCGAGTAGAGACGCACCTGTTTTTCTATGGAAATTTGTGCTTCAAATGATTAACCCACGAAAACAGCTCGTCTGTTTACATTATATCAGATGCTTCGCCTAAGTTAAGGGAGCACTTTCCGACTTCTTGTCGTGCCTCCAGGGATTTTCGGAAAACTTATCTTTTTCCTCTTAAATTTATGTCTCGAGATAACTCCCGGATAAGGGATAGGTGTCTTTGAAGCAAACGATATACGCTGAATTTAAATGGCGATAATGTTATTTGGCATTTCTATCCATAGGGATGCTTACGATGGAGTTCATCACCTACGCATTTAGGGTGCGTCTTGTTAAGAGTGACATTTGAGAAGAAGCTCATCTGCCGAGGGAAGACCCAGCTGATTATTTTACAGTTGTGAGTTTTCAATGAAAAAATGTCTCCTTTGGTAGTATATTAGGAGGCTTCGAAAAATGCTTCTGTACCAAGTTGTATGAAATTATATTAATTAGTATAGAATTTAAAGTGATTTATGATTTATGTTATTCATTTAGATGTTCACGGCAACGTTCAAAGGAACAAAAAATGAACGAATCAACTTCCAGTTGATGATCTGAGTTGCACGTGTATGGTACTATAAAACAGTGTGTAACTAATAATATTGGTCCATGTCCAATTCATACGTTTTACAGTCCGTCATGAAATTTTAGTTTCAAGGCTTAATATTATAAGGCTTATATTATAAGGCTTAAAATATACATTTAAAGATGGAACATACACTTGTTTGTAGCTTCACATATTCTCTATATCATAAATACATATATTATAAGCAGATTAGGTAAAACAATATTCTACGGAAATCTGAAAAACAGAAATTTAGTCCTACAGTGAATTAACTCAGAAAACCATCGTTTCGCCTCATTTCGACCATTTTGCCAAGCTACAAATATAGATGAATGTTAAATAGTAATAAACTAATAAAAAAGTAAAAATCTCAAAATCGATTTTCTGTCGCAAACTTAGCTATAGCCTCAGACTTACATTTTAAACTAGACCTTTTTGCAGATAAAAAGTATTTCACGCCGATAAAAAATGTATCAGTTTAAAGCTCAGGCTGACAAGAATATCAGGTTTCTGCAAAATAAATGTCAGTTCCTATATTAACTACGCCATCTGTATTGCACATTATAAGTTCTCGGTCTATTTGTTTACTGACATTAATTTGTTTACTGTATTAATAAGGGAATAGTGAATACTACGAAATGATAATATCGCTGTAGTTTCACTGTTGTGTATTACTGGCTATGGTTCGCGGTTCTAAATATTTCTCGCTATAATTCCTAGTTTATACATTTCACGTATAAAGGAAATTCAAGTATAATTTTAATACTTGTCCAATATTTTCTTACACCCCAAATAACACAAAGTTTCTTGAATACAAATTTACCGAATGTAAGAAGATGTTTTGTCGTCAAAAATAATTTTTTGCACGACCCTCCTTGAAAACGCTCGTTTTCGTGACTGTCTACCTAGCGTAAAGTGGCTAATTGCAGTCCGGTGACGATTGCGCGCTTCGCAAGCGGGCATATAAAATATCTTGCGCCCGCTACAGCGGGCTTAAAAATTCTTTTTACTTCGAAATTCGTGAAATAAACTTTTTTATCGATTTCAACCTAGACGTCGCGTTTTTAAATCCAGCCGGACAAAAAATCTCATGCGGATTAAAGAGAAAAGGATATAATTTGGCTCGCGTTGAATACCGCTCTCGAATTGCTCGTGCGGAGAATAACCCCCTTCACGCCTTCGATACACAATACACTATTTTGGTTCGTGTACATGTTCATTGTTTCTTGATTATATTTTCAACATTTGACATTTTCTTCATGATAATGTGACAAATCAGACAATGAACAAGTTCAAAATGTATGTTATTCTAAGAAGGTGGTAATCTAATAACTTTTTCTTTGCGAATCACTTTTTTTAATCGATAATATCTTACCGTCTTTTTTTTCAGAGATACTCTTGCTACGCTTCTGATATCAGTGTTTGAACTCTGATATCAGGATTTAGATACAATACAATACATTGTTCTTATCGGAAGACTAAAGGATTAACATATATCACACCAGCTCCAATATTTGAAAATACATTTTCGCTACTATTCGATGAAATCTTCTAGGTGGAATTCGGTATACGCTGTTACAAAAGGGCACCAGTCGATGTACCATATTTCGGTTGGTACCTCTTCACTTATCCAATATTAATTATAAAGGATCCCCTTTTGATAAAGTCACTGCTCGTAGACAATCACACCTACTTTCTTCCATTTACAAAGTGACAAGTAGAGAGAAATGCATCAGCAGATGTTGCAATTATTTACGCCTGAACATTTAAGAAACTATGTTACTCGCGTTCAAGAGTTGTCAATAGACTTAGCAGATTCAATGCAGTATTATGAATCGAAAAAGATAAACATGGTCCATCGATTTGCGAATATCATGGTAGATCTGGCGGTCATGTTGATATTCGGTTGCGACGTGAATACCCTCTTTAGAAATCACGAAAGGCACATGCCGACTCTTGAGAAAAAACGAGCAACCTTATCGTAGCGTCTGTGCTCCCAAAATGGATTCCTTAAGGTACAGCTTATTCGATATTACCCAATCTTGGAAAAATCGTGTCCCATATACCCCCCTTTCGAAGAATATTACACGTCATTCGAAAATCTCGTGATGAAAATAATCGACTTACGAGATTCTTGACAAGTACAAATTTCGAAAAATTTGATTGATCACCCAACAATAGCAAGAGACTACGAGTGAATTAAATACGGAAGATATCATAGCTTGCCTCCACATATTTCTTATGTTCAGCACATCCAACCGACACCTACTGTCCGCAATAATATACAACATAGGGAACAAACAGCCGATTCAGGAACTGTTGCAGAAGGAACTAGACCAGGTTATAAACGAACACGTTCCACAGATATCTTACCAGGTTTTGGAAAATATGATGTACCTGGACAAGGTCGTCCAAGAGATACTAAGGCTGCACGAACCGTTCCCATTCGTCGAACGCATATTGTATACAACACCACGCGTTCTTCCACCAGCTCGTAACGGCGACAAACCTTCCCCTATACCCATGGGAATGAATGTATGGATACCGATCACAGCGATCCGCAGAGATGAGCTATGCTTTGGAAAACCTGAAGTCTTCAATCCCGAGAGGTTAGGTCTGAGGAATTTAGTAAACTTTCCTTTTTACGCATTCGCACCCTGGGGACATGGACCGAGAAGCTATTTAGTCAAGGATTTCATCCTCGTACAAACCAAGATGCTCCTTATTCAGCTTCTTCAGAAATTTAATTTTAGCTATCCACCAAATCAGAAAAACGGCATGAACTTTGACAAATCCGCTGCATTTTATTATACATATAAAGCGTATGAAGATGTAGACCTCGTTTTTTTTTTCACCCACAACTAAATAAACTTAGGTTTTAACGTATAGGGGTCGTGCGTATTGATACACTCATATTGTTTGGATACTTAGTAGATAAACATTATAGATAAATGTATTGTTTAAGAAAATTATTAAAAAAGAATTTTAAATATTGTTATCTTGTATTACTTTGCAATTTAACATTCAACGTAAGGTAAAAAATAATTAATAATTGATCACAAAAATTTCAATTTCAATGAAATAAATGAGTATATGTATTTCTCTGAATATTTTTAAATAAAACATTTTAATATAAAATTTAGTATAATTATTGAAAATCAAGATTTTTTCAATACTGCCAAGAGGGCTAGGATAGGCAGTCTTAAAAGAAGGTTGCACTTGATGCAAGCAATTGCCAGGAGCAGAATGCTTTATGGGGTCGAGATTTGAGAATGGAGGAAAAGGGAGAAAAAAGAGAAAGGCTACAAGCAAGATACGTAAGAATGGTAAGGGGGATCGGAAGAAACTCACCAGGATACATATGGAGAATGGAAGCAGGGTGAAGGGGAATCGGTATGGAATTGCGGAAGAGGGCAGTAAGGTACGTTGGAGAGATTATGTGTATGGAAGAAGGCAGGTGGCCAAAGACTTGTTTAAAGGAGGAAGTCAGAAATTTTAGAAACGGGGATCCATCGAAATGAGAAAAGGAATTAAAAGCAGCTACGAAGGAGTTTGGGGAAGATGAGATATGGGGAACGATAAGGAGCGGAACAAAAGAACAACTAGAAAAGGAAATAGAAAGAGGAATAGAAATAAAGACGGACCAGGAAATTCAGCACAATTGGAATTAAAATAGACGGGTCAGAGTTTTGCAAGGAGTGTAAGGATACGAAGCATAGTGTCGAAATAGAAGAATACTGGGAGGAAAAAAAGATAAGTAGTAAAATTAAAGAAACACGGGCAAGGATGAGATGTGGAAGTGTAGGAAGAGAGTCGGACAAGAGTTTCAAGAATAGCAAGTGTCGACTATGTAAGAGGAAGGAGATGTTAGTTCATAAGTGCGAATGTAGAAGCGCAGAAGGTGATAAGAAGGGAGCTGGTAGAGGGATTGGACGGACGAAGGGTGTAATAGGGAATGGATGATAAGCAAGGCGTTATGCACAGGAAAATCTGTAATCGTCCTTTCTAAATACATAATGGATTTAAGAGAAAGGCAAAAAAGAGCGAGTGACAGGAGGAAGGAATAAAATATTTAGAATAAGCGTTAAACTAGGTAGAAGCGGAGAAACAAGTTAAAGGTTTTATATGTAAAAGCCCGAAATGATATACATTGGAAATAAAGAATGACTACTGGTGCTTTTATAAATACTCGGTAAAATGATGTTCTTAACATTTAGTCTATCAGGCTATCACATATTGATTACGGCTTATAATGAATACAGGAATTATATTTTCAGAGGAATTATGAAAAATTTACGATATTCATATATGTAATACAAATAGTATTAATTGTCACTTCTGACTAGAGCAACGGTCAGGGCCCAGATACAATTTCTGCTAGAGTATTCAGGAGTTTCTCACGTGGTGACTATCTTAACTCGAATATTCTATTTTTAAAGTACCTGACTCACGTGAATACTTCGCGTCCTTGGTTTGCCTGATTATAGACTTATCGCGCGCTCTATCAGCGTCTCGGCTTTAAGCTCAACAGCCTAATACGACCGAAAAACGTAAGGGACGATTATTCAGCTAATCGCACTACACAGTCACGTTAAAAACTAGGTGTGGAACTATTGGCAAAAGTACCATCAGTAGGTAATAGTAGAAATTGTTACAGCGATTTTGGTCAGTCGAAAAAATAAACATACAAAAAAAAAGATAGAAAGAGATTCTCATGACCTATAACAGTTCAGATAGAATATCTGCTTATCTTGTTTACAATAACGAATGCGTAATGGTATTTACTTGAAAACAAATGTTCTTAAATGTGAGGTTATGATATGCAGGGACCAGAGTTGCACAACTGAGCACTGGCATTGCGAGTCTTATGCATGATAATAACAATAGTAATACGCACGAACATACTGGTTGGCCGTCAAAAAGATTTCATTCACGGGAAAGCCCCTCCATTTTCCCACTGACATATAAAAGCAAATCCACAGCAGCTCCGCCTCAGTGCGCCTAACTGTAGTTGCACGGGATCCGTGAGATAAATTGTATTTGTCAGAGCTAAGAAATAACCTTGAGAACGAGAGCATTAACTCGAATGTAAATGTCTCGAGCTAACTGTAGTCAATCAGCGCGGAGTGCAAATTACGCGAACTGCAATTAAAACCCACCACGTTTCCTTTAACGAGGTTTAAGAATAAATATGAATTATATACTCGAATTGAGTTTCGGAGCGGCGATAATTTTGGTGCTCTTAATACGGGCTAAAATAAAAAAATATAATTATTTCAAAGAACGCGGTGTGCCCACTCTAAGCATTTATGCGGGTCTTACTAATACGTGGAAGCTGTTTACAAAGAAAATATCTTTTCCCGACATGGTGATGGACCTTTATAACGCGCATCCAAATGCCAAGTACATCGGCATCTTCGATCAAGGATCGCCGGTTTTCATCATTCGGGATCCTGAAGTGGTCAAGTTGGTAACAGTAAAAAACTTCACGGTCTTTCTCGATCACAAAGGATTCGTCAAGGAAGAGGTCGACCCTCTTCTAGGTGGTGGACTATTCAATATGAAGGGTGGCAAGTGGAAGGAAATGAGAGCGGTCATCAGTCCAACGTTCACAACCAGTAAAATGAAATGCATGTTCGAGCTAATGTCAAAATGTGGCCAGGATTTTGTTGAATTTTTGGAAAAGGAAAAACAGCCGCTTGTTCTCGAAATGAAAGACGTTTTCACGCGTTACGCCAATGACGTAATAGCGACAACAGCATTTGGCGTGACAGTGAACAGCATTCACGATAAGGAAAATGAATTTTATATGATGGGCGTAGAAGCGACGAGCTTCACTCCACTTCGTAGCTTCAAGACAATCCTATTTCAATGGTATCCAAAGATAATGAAGTTCCTTAAGTTTAAAATAGTGTCCGATAAGGTGTCCAACTTTTTTCGTGATATTGTGATAACGACCATAAATACGCGCAAGGTACAAAATATACATAGACCGGATCTCTTGAACATCCTGATGCACGCGAGAATGAAGGATCCGGACAGAGAGTTGACGCATGACGAAATAATATGTCAAGCTTTCCTCTTCTTTTTCGCGGGTTTCGAAACCGTCGCCTCGGTGATGTCATTCGTCGCGTATCATTTAGCTATATATCCGGAAGTGCAGGAGAAACTGCGCAAAGAGGTGGATGGGGTTTGCGGACGAGAAAATGGTCAACTGATTTACGAGGAACTTGGTGAAATGAAATATATGGAAATGGTTCTGAATGAAACAATGAGGCTTATTCCACCGAGCGTTTTGACCGATCGCGTTGCTGTGGAAGATTTTCATTTACCGGCCAATGATGAAAAATCACCACCGATACACATCGAAAAAGGCACTGCTATTTGGATTCCTATAGCGGGATTTCAAAAGGATCCGAAATACTTTGCAGAACCCGAAAAGTTCGATCCGGAACGCTTCGATTCTGATCATAAGAATAATATTTTGCCATTTACTTTCATCCCCTTTGGTGTCGGTCCCAGAAGCTGTCCTGCTAATCGTTTCGCTTTTATGGAGATCAAACTTATTTTGATAAACATATTGAAAAGATTTGTTATAAAACCTTGCGAAAAAACATCTATACCTATGAAGTTTGCTAAGGGTACGATAACTGTCGTAGCGGAAAAAGGTATTTGGTTATCTTTCAAACCTAGGAAAAACATTGAATAACAAATAGCATAAATCCTTATTAATCCAATTGATAATTTGAGGAATAAAAATGTTCCTGTCACTGTCTTTCGATAATAATATGAATCACGGAACTGTTTATTCGTTGAGAATTATTGTTCAAACCCTTCATTGGCATTGACACTACGGGGCTCACGTAGGTTTTTTATTTTTTCTTACTACAATTTTGAGTCCAAGTGATATCTACGAATTTTTGGGTTGATTAATCCGAATTTAAAGTGAAAATTATCAAACTCAAATTGTCTGAACCAAAATGGGAGATCAAATTTAAAAAAAAAATAATACTCGGATATTTTTGTCAAAATAATGACAAAGGGGGTTAATTAGAAGACAAACTTGATTTGTAAAATAATAAATTCTGTACTATAGGTATTTAAGGATTAAAAGAACCGGCGTCTGTACTATAAATCTGATCGATTAACTGCCGATGCGATATCAAAAACATATGGGACACAGCGATGCATGATAGCCATGCGACGACGTGATTTTAAAAAGCGATTAAAAACTTTTGTTAAAAGAAAAGCATGGATCAAAACAATATTCAATTAAAAATGATATTTTTGAAGTTTAATCAGTTAACTGTGGATGTGATATTAATAATAATACTGTGATACATTAAAAAGACACGAGAATATTGCACATAAGACTACAAATTTTTTATTATTTTTATTATAAGAAAGACTATACTGACTATGTAATTATGACAGAAAATACACATTTTTGAAAATATTTCCACATTTCGTATGGACAACGAGTCTATCCCGTTGAGTAACTCGACCCTAAATAAAAATATTGTATTGTTCTCTTTCTGTATTCATCAATTCATTCTATTCAGTTCATCTGAATATACAGATTTAAAAATACTAAATATCCGGATTACCATATATCAAGCATTTATTAGGTTTCCCCAGTTTCGAACATACGCATAGCGAAATCAAGGTTTATATATTTATATAAAATATATAGATTTATGTATTCCCAAGAACGAAAGCATACAGGTTACGCATAAGAAATGTGTAAAACTTGTTTATACCAACGTATCAACAATATTACAGAAATGATAGATAAAATTACTTCTATAAGGCATAATGAATTTTATGTATATTCTTTTGTCTGCTCTCACTTTCACTAACATTTAATAAAAGGTAAATTAATCTTATTGATATAAAAATCCTTGAAATAGTTAATTCCTTCGCATTATAAGGATTACCTAAAAATTAAAAAAAAAACCATTTAACAACGAAGAAGGAGAAAATTATTAATCATTGACTACATCCCGACGTTATTGCCTAGGATTGTAATAATTCTAATTCCAATTCTCGTGAATTCCATACATATGTATTGTTCATTAAAAAAATAATTCCTACTTGAAATATTATCTTGAAATATTATAAAAAAGTTGTCATTTCACATATTGTTTAGATAATGCAGTAAAAATTGATTGAAAAATGCCAAAATTAACAATTTAAAAATCATCGTAGTAATCTTGCACGTAAATGAAATATCTTCTAGAAATTTTATCTACTTTTGCCGATTGGAAACTGAGATATCTCAAAAAAATATTGCTATTCTAACAAATGAAGGATATCTATATCGTGCATTGTTGGCTACTTTCAGTCCGTATTCGCTACGTCCACTCGTGGCGCTGCCGTGGCGATTCCTAGCAGTACTTGCAAGTCCCGTAGCATACGGTTATATGGCGTGTAGCGATTTATAATTTATTATGCAATAACTATTTATTTCATACATATTACAAAATTTGGATAAGTAGACAATAAATATGTAAATAATATTGAAAAAAGCAACCTGTACAATAATAACTTGTGTACTTTTAATAAATCTTTTATTTACTTAGTTAACGTCGAGCAGCAATCGGTCGTCTGCTGCGCTGGACGGTAGCAGGCAGAAAAATTCAAACGTGTCGAACCATACATTAACGTGCTCTCCTGAATACAGCGAAGATTTCGTTTACTCTTTCATTTAGTCTCAATAAGAAAATGAATATGCTAATCAAAGCAAATTTTGAGGCGATTCCGAATTCGATATAATTCAATCACAATGCATTTACTAAGGGAGAGGAACTGGTGACATCCGATCACGTATTTCGCGTAGAAGAATTCAGAAGCGATGGCATTACGAACGAACATATAAGATGCCGTGTAATACGTCAAACTTTGGTAACTTTATCAGTAACGTTCCGTACGTTTACTTCGTTCTCTTATAGCTCCGAATTGCTACGAATGCCTGCGGCTGTACAAAACAGAGGTTAGATATTTTTCCGATTGCCGGACAAAAGGTGTTTTGTAACGAAAAAACTCAAGCTATCGATTCAGTGTTTGCAAAACATGACATTACTTATAGTATTTATCGATATATGTAATTTCGATCTATTTTCAATCGAAACACTTTACACTGATTGAAATAGACGGCGTTAGACGCGTTTCACACACAAAAAATGCCTACCATCAAATGCTAAGAGTCGCCCACCCTGATCACTGGCAGTCAGCTGTCCCCACTTTTCACTCTCATGCACACAGCGAATATCTCGTGAACTAGACGGTGAGTATTTTTCAAATTTTGCACGCACGACCGTTGTGATTGTTACCCGCTGTCGGTAAATGGTTGGTGAGGCGTGGTGAGCCCACATGGAGACAGAGGGAGTAATACGAAAACAAAATGGCTTTTAGTGAACGTCGCCGCCTAAGAGCCGTTGGTAAAATAAATGAAAGAGGAGAACAATTTTCTCGTGTTCTGTTAACTAGCGCCGGTCAAATTAGCTTTAGATAGCAATGTTCAACACAACCGTCAAAAACATCAAAAATTCAAGTCCGTATCTTATTGTAGAAGTGCTCGAATGATCGAACAACCTTAAACATTTAATAGAATATAGTTATTTTGTAATATACATAAAAAAAAGTAATGATTTTACAAATCAATGCAGTGCTCAAAAACTTGCAAAATAACAAACAACTTCATATTACAAGAAAAAAGATTATCAAATTTTTAAAGATAATATACAAAGACAGTTTATCAAATGTTACTCATAACAGTTGCTGATATTGCATCATTGCTCTTTACAGTCAACAACGATAATATCTATTTGTATATATAGAAATAGAGTACCATGTCAAAAATATTAGCTCCGCAAAAGGAGAAAGAATAAAAATCGCCTTCAATGGTAAAATTTTTACCGATTGAAGGGAAAATGAATAAAACCATATAAATCTTCTACTGAAGTCAATTACATTGCTACATGATTGAAATTTTATAAAAACCAATTTATGTTTTTCACATTTTTAAACCAATTACTTCGATGGATGGGTGAACTAACAATTTCAAAAAAAAACAACTTCACTAATAAATCGAAAGTAATAAGAAATTCAACAAGGGTGGATGACGTTAGAGCTCTTTCAGTGACCATGACCTACAATTAGTTAAAAATATTTCGAAAGAGATGAACTGGAAATTTTAAAAAAATATAAAAAATAGTAAAATAACGAAAAATCAAGAGGGTAGAAATTCAGTATATCACTAGCGACCAGGTGAACTAGAATTATTTAAAAATTTTGATTTTTACTATTTTATTTGGCAAAAAGCAGTGAAAAAACATGCAATTTTTTATAGTTTTTTCGCCGCCATTTTACTATTTTTGCATTTACATTAACAATTCCAGTTCAGATGGTTGCTAGTGATATATTGAAGCTAAAAATTCAAAATTTTTCTGTTTTATAACGCCCATTTTTGAAATTTCAACACCAGCGCAGACACACCTACTAATCGAGGCGTTGTATTCAAATTGTGTTTCTGTATGTTAAAAGTGCATAAAATATATAATAAACAATTTTTTAATGTATTTTCAGAGAGTATTTATTAAGCCTAACAAACCATACATCAATATGTTCATTCATTATCTCATAAAAATTTCATAAAAATAGCCTTATTTTTCGAGCACCGAAAGCAGAATCCTGCCTTAAGTAACACCATCACTTGGGCGTCTAAGAAATATGCTGAATAATACGATTGCTAGCTTTTCGAATTGTTAAATAAAAAAGATAATAATTAAACTAGAAGCAAACCGATCCTAAATTTTTCGTGGCTTTAACCGAAGCCAAAAACCTTCTTTCGGTGTAATACTAAAACTTTGTAAAGTAAACTTATTCGGATCGACAGTCTTTTCCGTTCGTTCAACCAGAAAGTTTTGCACCAAATGTGTCATGATAATTTTCGTCTCCATTAACGCGAATCTATTTCCAATACACATTCGAGGGCCCAGTCCGAAGGGCAAATAAGTGTAAGGCACAATTTTGTCCTTATTCTCGTCATTAAATCTTTCAGGATCAAATTTATATGGATCCGGAAAATATTGTGGGTCATAGTGAAGAGCGTGCACTGGAAACCACACGGCAGAGCCCTTCTCAACTGTGACATCACTGTACCCTGGCATCGACTGCGGAAGCTTAAAACTCTTAACACAGACACGATCGGTGACAGGAAATGGAGGATGTTTTCGTAGAGTTTCAGAGATGACCATGTCCATGTACTTCATCTTCTGTAACATCTCATAGGTGACCTCGTCCTCGGCACCAGAAGTCACCTGATCAACCTCTTCGCGAAGCTTTTGCTGGACGTCAGGATTGAGCACCAACTCATGAAGCATGTAACACATCAAAGTCGAGGAAGTATCGAAACCAGCCACAAAGAATATAAAAGCTTGAGCCACGATGTCGTCTGTGGACAATGTTATACGTTCGTTATCTCTGGCCTGCATCAGCAAGTGAATCATATCCGGTCTGACGATTCCCTTTTCGTCTCTAGCCTTAACAGCATCTTGGATAAGGGTCCTAAAAAATGTTGCCGTGTCGCGCGATATCAAGCCTTCACCCGTCAATCGTAAAATACTCGGACATATACGAAACATAACAAACTTCATAGTTTTCCAGATTCCCTCAAAATTAGTTGCCTCCATTCCGTTGACATAGAAGTCATTTTTTTTTTCACGCATCGAATTAACGCTTATGCCAAAAGCTGCAGTGGCGATCACGTCGTTCGTGTATCGCGTGAAGGCATCTTTCGTCTCGATGGACTTTGTCTCTTCCGGATGCTCGAGTAGATATGTGACGAAATCCTTGGAAGTCTTGGAAATCAATTCGAACATGAACTTCATCTTGCTGGCAGTAAAGCTGGGAGTCAGCATCGTCCTCACTTCCTTCCAGCGTTCACCGCGAAGAGAAAGTATATTCTTTCCAAAAAGCTTGTCCACCGTCTCATCGACGAAGCTTATATGATCCGGAAAATTATCGAAATTCTTCACGCCAATGTCGCGAATCAATTGGGGGTCCTTAATGAAGACGAGGGGCGTATTAAAATCCATCAGACCAAAGAATCTTGCATTGGGATATCGGTTATACATGTCCAGTATAAGCTCGGGAAAAGTTTTCAGTTTGAAGAAGATCGGCGCCTGATTTCCAATAAGTGGTATCACTTCCATGTATGGGATCCCACGTTTCTTCCAATAAGTGTACTGACGGTAAATTAGAGCGGCGAGAGTGAAGCCGACAATTACGAGGACACATTGCAATGCATGCCACAGATACTCCATCGCGAGAACTGAACGACACGTTTCACTCGCGACGTAACTTTCATACTGGACTGGATGGACACGTTCTCGCATACATAAGAACAAATTTTGGCAATCATTTAGATGTAGCTTGCGTTTATCTTGTGATGCAATTGATAACCGGTCAGATAACTATTTGATAAATAGTATGTAGATAGAAAATTGCAAGTAATTATCTAGGAAAAATTTAATCCAAGAACCGTGAAGAGACTTTATACCGTGTAGAATCAATCGATCATGGATTTTAAAGTCGATAATACATTTCTTATATAATTTGCAACAACGATATGTGATTATGATATTTTCGCGAACTATACATATTTGCAAAAATATTATTGACTTACATTTTTTTTTATGAATACACTGCAAAAAATAATTTCTTAAATAAAACACCAAACACTGAATTACTTAAGCTTGAAAAATTACAATAATTTTAATAATTCTCACTACTTTAAAATGAAACATCCCTTTTTTTATTGAGTTAACCTCAAATAACTTCATTTGTGTGCCCCAGTGATCACGCGATTCAAGATTGCGTATTTTTCAGTATGCCTTGATTCTGCCTGTGCAGTGCCTCGACTGAATCGAGGGAACTTCAAAGCAATTTTTACTATTGTGCTGTTATGCCCCTCTATTATAACGTAGCCATTAAGGAACCGTTACCCTGAAAATTCACTGCCTTTCCTATCATAGAACTGTCCTTAATCCCAAAAATATACAAACCCGTGTTCCCTGCATTTTTAAAATAGGAATTTCCGAATTACACGAAAACCCTCCCTTCCTATTCCTCATTCCTGTTAGACTAAGTTTACCTTATTAGAAAATGTAGCATCTAAGGACAGTTTCAGTCGAGCATTTGTAAGAGAAGGTCCTCTATAGAATAAAGTAAAAGATTGTCTGTTCTACATGGTTCTTTAATTAACAAAATCCGTTCGTGAAGTCATAGCGGCTGAATCTTGTACGTCGTATTGAATCTATGACGATATAGTTCACCACGGCATAACAGTGTGCTTCCAATTTTATCTCGACGAAGAGAATTACACTTCGAAGCATCATAATAATATTACTAGTCACAAAAAACAATCATTCTGGTGTATATTATTTACTAAAAAATCTACCTAATATTATAATTATACATAAGGCCACTTGAAATGCATTTCCAAATTTGTGGTCAAGTACCTACGTCTCAAAATGCGTCAGAGATAGAAGGTATCGCCAAGAAAATACGCAGTACACGGTGCAGACTCACCAAGGTGATACAATGTCATTGCAATGACGCAATAGATAACCCGACGAGACAGTGAGACAGCTTTCTTGCAGAAAAAGAAGATACCCTCGATCCTATACTGTATATATGTATATTATTATTCAACATCTATAGTTGCGACTGTTATGATTATCTTTGTCGTTGAATCATTTACGCTGATCTGAGAATCTACGTCATCCACCTAAACATGAACAACCCATTGACCGTAATAACGCAATCACGTGGCCGGGAGAAATACTGGAAGGGGTAAATACTTCCTACAATAATCATTTAGAATCTTGTTACTCCGAGGTCAAATAGTTAAGGTCAAATGTTCCAAAGTTAGTATCACATTCAATTTTTATAGAAGCTCAATTCTGACGCAACCTTGAATATCAATTAAAAATCTCTCTCAGTCGTCGTGAAAGCTAATAAACAATAACATATTATTAGTAGCTGGGAGGTGGAAACACTAATGCCAATTATAACATGATCTTTAACATTTCTGCATCTGCATTTATATAACTTCTGACACCGATAACAACCAAACCATAACTCTGAGACGATAATTCTTGAGGTACTTAACTTTTCGTTTTCGATTATTTAAATGTGAATTAAGACAAAAGGTATGGTTAATTCTTATCAACATTTTTTTTCGCGGGATTTAGATAATCAAAAGAGAAACACAATAAATTACAGAATTACAGAATTTCTCTCGGAGCAATAATTTAGAAGCTATGGCGAACCAAAGTCTTAAGTCATTAATAAATGCCTTAAATGAAAAATATTTGAAAAAATCCGCATTTAGATAGTCGAAAAGGAAACAAATGTTTATTGCTTGTAATTAGATTGCACGCGAGGTAAATTCGCATCCAAATATCTTTGCACAGATAGCACTGTAAATTAATTTGTTACGCAAAATAGAAGCCATACAATGAAATATCTTTTCCTGCGGGGCGAAATGTGTAAATTATTTCTTAAAAAATCTGTAAAATACAACTGCATCTGGAAAGTGACAGCCTGCGCGTCTGTAACGGCGACCGAACAATACCTACGCCGTTCCCTATCAACAATTTGTTGCATTACTTTTATTAGACAATTATTTACATTAAAAGTGAGTACCACGACTTTTTCCTTCAGACAGTTGAAATTGTTTTTTAAACTTTTTATAGCAATATTTGAACAATATGGAACACTTACAGATATACGTCTCTGGCTCTTCGGTTCGGTTCAGAGGCAATTATAGTTTACCCCAGGCGAAAGTTAACCCCTACTTGGAATCTCAAACTCCTTCTAAACGCAGTTTTGACCCTTCATAGCATCTCTAAATCCTCCAGCGCCAAATTTCACGACTGTTTTGCGTATCCAGCTCCTGCTGATTATGAGTGAGACAAGTTTCCATTTTACGGCTGTATTGCGCAGTCGAATACTACTTATAATATGGAACTCCTCCTTTGAACCTCAAAGGTCTTCCAAGTCCGAGGGATCCGAAATGGGCCGTGGACTATTGCAGTTGAACTGTGTGATCTATATACAGGGACTCTTCTCATTGTAAACCAAAAGATGATGGCCCCTTGACATGAAATGAGTATGAGACATCACTCAAAATTGATATAAACTCTGAAAAACCGTCAGCCGTACTAATTAGGATATTAAAATTCGGATAAGTTCAACAGAAATTATGCTGGCCCTTACTGGGCCATGTTACATTTACTTACCACAGAAAAGAAGCTACAGAAACTCTTCTTCTCTCTTAACACGAACGACTGAATACCATTATGCTGTTCGAATGTCGAAAGTTGGTATTTGAAAATTATTTGTTTTCATTAGGTTCAAAGAAATTTGGATATCTTTTGAAAGACAAGCAACGTCTTAAGAATATCTAAATAAATAGTTTATTTAAAAAATTAATATTATATATATTAATATTATATGCCTTATTGAGTTATCCATACTTTAAATTCCAGGTAAACGAATTAACCTATTCAGGGTGGCTTAATTATATCATTTCGTATAAGAATAATTTTTAAACGACAAAAATTGTTGATGCAGGCAAGGATGTCTGGCATAAAGATTGGGATGCTACAATATAATAGTAGGAATACAGGAAAACATTGGAAATCTAGTATGGTCTGTAGGACTTTGTTAATAAAGTAGTGGTGGCATTGACTATTGAGGGAGCGAGAAGTGTAGGAACAGAGTACAATTAATTTTATGGACCCTTTGGTTGTTTTAAGTATTTTATCGAATTAAATTAAAACAGATCTGGTAAATTTGAAGAGCATATGACGCTGGCTAAAAATTTCAAGTTCAAGAATTGTCAGAGGTTCAAAAGTCATACAGCTTGAAAGGTAACCTCCAACCGTTAAAGAATATTATCCGCGGTTTTCCAACTCCAATAGGGTTTACGAACAAGTATCAAAGACCGCAAGCGATTACTTTGATCCCAATGCCAACCAAAACTTCTGGCACTGACCGCGTAAATCTGCGAATATGCTGTTGTACTCCTACACGAGGAAATGATTGACAAAAATTGAATTTCTACATTTAATACCAGTGTCATTCCTAAGCTATGGATTTAAAAAAAAAACATTATTTCTGCATATTCTTCGCGATAGAGAAAAATACCACGAAATGAGTAGTATCAATAACAATTCCATTTTTTAATATATCCTAACTATTTACATTCTCGTATTATTATTTAATTACAAAAATATAATCCATCAAATTCAATTCAATTCAAATCTCTAATTGCAGAATTAAGTTTAATCAAAAACTAATCAAACTTTTGTTTATGATATAATAAAATACTTCGTCGGTTGTGTTTTAGTAATAGTTAATTTATAACAATTGCTTTGCTGAAATTACTATTATACTAATAAGACCCACGTTTCCATGGATGCTATAAAATACGTGTAATATTTTGTTTCTAGTCTTGAAAGCATGAATAGAATATTTTAAAAACTTCGCATTAAACTATTCGTGTGTTTATTATGTTTGATTAAGATACTGTTGAAAATCAAATTGGATTAAGAAGTCTTGAAATAAAGTTTCGATGTGAAAATGAAATTGGGCTTCCATTACTTGTATATATAAAAATAGAAATTTTACAAAAACATGAAGACTCTTCATGAAAATCAAGACATGAAGATCGGAGAAGACGCGTGAGAGGTCCATGAGTAGAGACATACGATATAATATTTCTCTTCATTTTAAAAATTACGCACATATTCAGAATCTCTAAGCGGAGCGTGGATCGCATCTCATGGATATAAGGAAGAGAAAATTAATCCTGGGTGTCTAAAAGAATTCGTTTATGAAAATAATTCAAAGTTTATAGCACATGAAATTAATTATTCTTTCGAAAGCCAATTTCTTCTGATTGACCGTTGTAAACAATCCCCTGAATAGCTAACCATATAAGCCCGTGAACAAGACATATTAGCTATTCAATAGACAATGCCAAGTAGCCGCGAGACATCTACTGCACAAACCAGAAAATAAAAATAAAAACGTATTCCTTCATGAGCATCCACTTGCATCCATTAGTGACAAATCACGTTTTCTCTCCACATTACTAAACGTATATAAACAATTCAATGCATTACATCATCCATACTCATCTTGACCTTTGATAAATGACACTGCTAATATTTGATACTTAAAAAAGTAATAAATAAGACGATGAAAGAATTTCAGGGTTCGTACAACATTCGCGCTACTTAAAATGCAGTAAAACAATGTGCGTGTTGCTTGAACACTTATTGATATTTTATGCACATCGAAGGACGGGTGAATTAACAATTTCAAATAGAACTTTACAAAAAAATCTAAATTAATGCGCCTCGTGCGAACATTTCATTGCTCAATAATAAGAAATTCAACATGGATGGATAGCGCTTTTTCGGTGACCATGAGCTAAAATTAGTTAAAAATATTTAGAAAAAGATCAATTAGAAATTTAAAAAAAATTTTTTAAATAGTAAAACAAAAAATCCAGAGAGTAGAAATTCAAATGCAACAGGCGAACCATGTTTTTTACTTAGATAAAAAATTTCAAAATATTTACAGAACTTTTAAGCATCCAAGTAAAAATCTGTATTACAATTGGGTCACGAGTTTCCACTTTGAAGGGCCTTCTTTTTATAGAAATCAGCGATAATGAGTCTCTTGAATATCCTACAATATTCCACAACTCGAAGGTGATTTCAACGTAGAAATCAAATAGACGGGCTAAGTTTATTACCTGCAGTATTCGTGGACGACCCTATATAGATTGCACTAACAGTGTGACAATTTGTTTATTTGAAATACCTTTATTTCTCGTACAAATATTTTTCGTATTCTATAATAGACATTATTACCAGCACAGTACAAAAATCTTTTTGTATGAATATTAGTTTATCAATTAGACTTTAACAAGATATTATTTTCCAAGTCTCAGCGAAATTCTTCTTTAAGTAACACCGTCATTTGGACGTCTAAGAAATAAACTAAATAACATGATCGCTAGCTTTGAGAATTGTTAAATCAAAAAAAAATAATAAGAAAACTAGAAGGAAACCGATCCTAAATTTTTCGTGGCTTTAGCCGAAGCCAAAAACCTTCTTTCGGTGTAATACTAAAACTTTGTAGAGTAAACTTATCCGGATCAATAGTCTTTTCCGTTCGTTCAACCAGAAAGTTTTGCACCAAATGTGTAACGATAATTTTCGTCTCCATCAACGCGAATCTATTTCCAATACACATTCGAGGACCCAGTCCAAAGGGCAAATAAGTGTAAGGCACAATTTTGTCCTTATTCTCGTCATTAAATCTTTCAGGATCAAATTTATATGGATCCGGAAAATATTGTGGATCATAGTGAAGAGCGTGCACTGGAAACCACGCGACAGAGCCCTTCTCAACTGTGACATCACTGTACCCTGGCATCGACTGCGGAAGCTGAAAACTCTTAACACAGACACGATCGATCGCAGGAACTGGAGGATGTTTTCGTAGAGTTTCAGAGATGACCATGTCCATGTACTTCATCTTCTGTAACATCTCATAGGTGACCTCGTCCTCGGCACTAGAAGTCACCTGATCAACCTCTTCGCGGAGCTTTTGCTGGACGTCAGGATTGAACACCAACTCATGAAGCATGTAACACATCAAAGTCGAGGAAGTATCGAAACCAGCCACAAAGAATATAAAAGCTTGAGCCACGATGTCATCGGTGGACAATGATACACGTTCGTTATCTCTGGCCTGCATCAGCAAGTGAATCATATCCGGTCTGACGATTCCCTTTTCGTCTCTAGCCTTAACAGCATCTTGGATAAGGGTCCTAAAAAATGTTGCCGTGTCGCGCGTTACAAAGCCTTGATCCATCAATCGCAAAATACTCGGACATACGCGAAACATAACAAACTTCATAATTTTCCAGAATCCCTCAAAATCTGTTGCCTCCTTTCCGTGGATATAGAAGTCATTATCTTTTTCACGCATCGAATTAACGCTTATGCCAAAAGCTGCACTGGCGATCACGTCGTTCGTGTATCGCGTGAAGGCATCTTTCGTCTCGATGGACTTTGTCTCTTCCGGATGCTCGAGTAGATATGTGACGAAATCCTTGGAAGTCTTGGAAATCAATTCGAACATGAACTTCATCTTGCTGGCGGTAAAGCTGGGACTCAGCGTCGCCCTCATTTCCTTCCAGCGTTCGCCGCGAAGAGAAAATATGTTCTTTCCAAAAAGCTTGTCCACCTTCTCATCGACGAAGCTCATATGATCCGGAAAGTTGTCGAAATTCTTCACGCCAATGTCGCGAATCAATTGGGGGTCCCTAATGAAGACGAGGGGCGTATTAAAATCCATCATACCGATGAATCTTGCATTGGGGTATCGGTTATACATGTCCAGTATAAGCTCGGGAAAAGTTTTCAGTTTGAAGAAGATCGGCGCCTGATTTCCAATAAGTGGTATCACTTCCATGTATGGGATCCCACGTTTCTTCCAATAAGTGTACTGGCGGTAAATTAGAGCGGCGAGAGTGAAGCCGACAATTACGAGGACACATTGCAATGCATGCCACAGATACTCCATCGCGAGAACTGAACGACTCGTTTCACTCGCGACGTAACTTTCATACTGGGCTGGATGGACACGTTCACGCATATATAGAGAAAATTGTGGCAACCATCCAGCTATAGCTTGCATTTATCTTACAGCGCGAGTGATTACCAGTCAAATGACTATTTGATAAATCGTATATGTATAGATAGAAAATTGCAACTGATTATCTGGAAAAAATTTAATCGAGATTCAATGAATCATGGATTTTGAAGTCAATACTACATGTTGTATATAATTTGCGAAAACAATAAGCGATTTTGCATCCTCACAGAGGAAGCTATGTGATGGTGGAAAATTGTCCTGTCGAGATTTTTATGCCACCATGTTTAGAATGTGCCAAAACGCCGAGAAAACACGTTTGGAGAAAATGTCCGGGTGTGCGCGCGCGCGCGCGCGTGTGTGTGTGTGTGTGATCGCCTCCCGAAATTCAAACGTGTATAACTTGAGAACGGTTTTAGCTACAGCCTCCAAATTTATGTCATTTTCAAATTTCCAAAAAAAGGACGTTCGCACTCTAGCGATCGCAAATTTTGTGACAATCGTCCAAATAGTTTTTGACAAAGAGATATGTATCCAAGGTTGGTTGGTATTGCATTTAGACCGAATCGATCGAGAAGTTTTGATTTTATGATATTTTGAATTTTTCGAAAAATTAAATTTATCAATATAACTCCCGTCAACTTTGACCGATTGAGCTCCGGATCTGATTATACGTATATTCAAGTTTTTGAATTTCAGCCAATGTCTCAAATTTGGCGGAGATTGGTAAAACGGATCTGATTATACATATCTTCAAGTTTTTAAATTTCAGCCAATTCAAAAATATTAGGCCCGAAGAGATCATGCAAGAGATTTATCCTTACATGCGTTCTCTATAGTATGAAGCACCCCAATTTGTGAGAGGCATGGAGACTCACGTTAAACAAGCTGCAAGTTGAAACTTACAATTTGCTTCCTCCGAATCGTAAGTAGTGTACGAAGTGCCTATATGAGGATGCCAAGAATTTTAATTTTGCAATTTGCTTCCTCTAAATCGTGGGTAGTAGATGAAAATTCATCTATGAGGAAGCCAAAGATTAAAAAAAAATGAAAATGCTTCCTCATACAAGGACTTCGTACACTACTTACGATTCGGAGGAAGCAAATTGCAAAATTAAAATTCTTGGCATCCTCATATAGGCACTTCGTACACTACTTACGATTCGGAGGAAGCAAATTGCAAAATTAAAATTCTTGGCATCCTCATATAGGCACTTCGTACACTACTTACGATTCGGAGGAAGCAAATTGCAAAATTAAAATTCTTGGCATCCTCATATAGGCACTTCGTACACTACTTACGATTCGGAGGAAGCAAATTGTAAGTTTCAACTTGCAGCTTGTTTATATTTTCGCGAATTATATTTTTAAAAATATTACTGACTTAAACATTTTTTTTGTAAATACATTGTAAGAAATAATTTCATAAATGGAACACCAAACACAGGGCTTACATCTATCTCACGACCAAAAAAAGAAAGGTGTTTTCGTGAATTTTTTTGGATAAAATGGTTGCAGGATTCCAATTTTTTTTTTACAGCAAAGAGTAGGATTTGAAGTATGTTTTACAATTTTGTTATTAAAAAGTATTCGTAAATGTAAGAGATACAATAAATTTCGCAGACCATCGTTTAAAAAAGGTCCTTCGCGGTGACAACTGCTGCTCGGACATAAATCATATGAAATCAAAAGATCAAATAGATTTAGCTTTTCTATCGTATTATCTAGACTTTAATCCAAGGATTCGATGAAATAATGATTTATGAAAAAATGGTCACCAATCGAAAGTAATCGTCAAAATTTCGGTGAAAAAAGTACTACATTTTCCTTGATATACAAAAAAGTATGCATTAAAAAAATCCTTCGATTAAGGACTGCTTTTTGATATACGAAAAATATATGCAAAATTTCAAGTAGATCGGTCTTATCGTTCTTGAGATATTGTGGTCACCGATTCTGAAGAAGTCATTCCAAGAAAAATGCGTTTAAAGTTTGGGGTCGGAACCTAATTGTAAAAACGTCTGCAACTCCCTCAATTTTTAACGGATCAAGCTGAAATTTTCGGAGACTATTCTTAATCGGTTATATTATAAGAAGCCGTCGAAAACGAAAAATCGATTTTTTCAAAAATTTCAACTAGATTTAAGCCCTTAATTTCTTAAGCTTGAAAAATTAATTGTATTAATTCTCACTGCTTCAAAATGAAAAATGCCTTTTTTATTGAGTTAACCTAAAACAACTAGATTTGTGTGCCTCAGTGATCACGCGATTCAAGATTGCGTATTTCTCAGTATGCCTTGATTCTGCCTTTGCAGTGCCTCAACTGAATCGAGGGAACTTCAGAGCAATCTTTACTATCGTGCGTTTTTAATTTTAACTCGACGAAGAGCATTACACTCGGAAGCATCATAATAATATTACTAGTCACAAAAAAACAATCATTCTGCTGTATATTATTTACTAAAAAATCTACCTAATATTATAATTATACATAAGGTCATTGGAATTTTTTTTTTAATAAATATGAGTAAATGAGTAAGAACACACTTGGAATGCATTTCCAAATTTGTGGTCAAGTACCTACGTCTCAAAATGCGTCAGAGATAGAAGGTATCGCCAAGAAAATACGCAGTACACGGTGCAGACTCATCAAGGTGATACAATGTCATTGCAATGACGCAATAGATAACCCGACGAGACAGTGAGACAGCTTTCTTGCAGAAAAAGAAGATACCCTCGATCCTATACTGTATATATGTATATTATTATTCAACATCTATAGTTGCGACTGTTATGATTATCTTTGTCGTTGAATCATTTACGCTGATCTGAGAATCTACGTCATCCACCTAAACATGAACAACCCATTGACCGTAATAACGCAATCACGTGGCCGGGAGAAATACTGGAAGGGGTAAATACTTCCTACAATAATCATTTAGAATCTTGTTACTCCGAGGTCAAATAGTTAAGGTCAAATGTTCCAAAGTTAGTATCACATTCAATTTTTATAGAAGCTCAATTCTGACGCAACCTTGAATATCAATTAAAAATCTCTCTCAGTCGTCGTGAAAGCTAATAAACAATAACATATTATTAGTAGCTGGGAGGTGGAAACACTAATTCCAATTATAACATGATCTTTAACATTTCTGCATCTGCATTTATATAACTTCTGACACCGATAACAACCAAACCATAACTCTGAGACGATAATTCTTGAGGTACCTAACTTTTCATTTTCGATTATTTAAATGTGGATTTAAAAAAGGTATCATAGTTCATTCTTATCAAAATTTTTTTTCGCGGGATTTAGATAATCAAAAGAGAAACACAATAAATTACAGAATTACAGAATTTCTCTCGGAGCAATAATTTAGAAGCTATG